AAAAAAAAAAGTTTGTATTGAGAAGGGGAAGGGAGGGTCTTATTATATTGCCCGCAGGCTGGTCTTAATCTCCTGGGCTCAAGGGATCCTCTTGCCTTAGCCTCCCAAGTAGCTGGCATTATAGGCATGAGCTACTGTGCCTGGTCCTAACTCACGCACTCTTGTCTCTCCTAACAAACAAGAAACCCAGAACCCTTTTTTGGTCACCCCCTCTCCCCCAGCTACTGCCATTTCTTTTGCTCTCATTCACATAAAACTTCTTAAAAGTTGGTTATGGTTGATGTAGCAACAGACTGGCTGGCTTTGACCTACATACCTGTCCCCAGCTGTCCACTGAAAGGGCTCTTATTGGATGACCTATGACTTCTGTGATCTTAGAGCCAGTGGCCACTCTTGTACTCATCTGGTGTACTGAGCAGATCCAGCATCTCCAGCAGTTCCAGCTGACACAGCTGATTATTTCCTCTCCCTTCCAGCACTTTTCTCTTGCCTGCTTTTTCCTTTCCTTCATAGACCCTTCCTACATCCTCTTTTTCTAGATCCCTAGTTTTGGAGTGGCCTAGGATCAATCCTGACTCCCTTCTCCTGTTTTTCCAGACTCTTGAATCCCTGTCCCCTCTAAATGCTGACAAATTCTAACTATATAACTTAATCAACCTGTTTGATCTTTCCACTTGGATGCTTAAAGGGAATCTCAAGGGCATGGTGGTGGGCACCTGTAATCCTGGCTGAGGTGGGAGGATGGCTTTAGCCCAGGAGTTTGACGTTGCTGTGAGCTATGATCTCACCATTGCACTTCAGCCTGGCTGACATGGCAAGATTGTCTCAAAAAAAAAAAAAATTTAATTTAAGATGTCCAAAACCGAACTCCTTTCTGTAGATTTTCCCCTCCACTCCCATTTCTGTAAGTAATGTCACTGCTCACCCAGAGCACTCCCCCAAATCGAGGTATCATCTCTATCGCAGCACTGTCCTTCTCATTCCACATCTAATCCACCTCCCTGTTGGACTGTACACTACCTTAAAACATGTACTGAATCCATCTGCTTCTCTCCACCTGCAGCATTACCTTAGACCAGGCCACCAACATCATTTTTATAATTACGTCACCTCCTCAGCAAACCCTTCTCTAACCACCAATCTCAAGTAGCCCTTCTGCCATGGCCCAGTCCCTGTGCTTTAGGCTCATACAGCTGTTTTTCCTCGTTTTATTTTTCATGTTTCATATTTATTTGTATCTCCCCCTCCAAAATGGGTGTCCTACAAGATTAGGCTATTGCTAGTTTGCTCATCAAGTGCCCACAGGCCCTATGCACCTGCTGTGGGATCTTAAGCTCAATGCCTCAGTTTCCTCCCCTACAGAGTGGAAATAAGTGCTTATCACCAAAGGACGGTGCAGCGGCTTCTAAATAATACACATGCAGCACTCAGAGCAGGAGAGAGCACCGCTCACTGTCTTTCTTAGGAAAAAACACACGGCTAGTAATTCCCTGCAGGCTTTTATGATGTGTTGCTCTGGCCTTCCCAATCATTCCCAAGTTTTGGCCACTGTCTCAGCTTCTCTTGTTACGGCAGAAGGGTCACAACAGAAGGAACCCCCCACCCAGTAAATTCTCCCAGTCCTAAAAATCTGTACCCTTCTCACTCACCAGGTGCCAGAGAAAATTAAACCAAGTCCTACAACACAGAGAATATCAACATCTATCTGAATAAAACCGAACCAAATGCTTTTGATCTTACATTAAAATCTACTGCCTTAAAATATTTAATTTGAAGTGTTCTGCTTATCAATCAGAGAAATAATGGCTTGGGGGCAGCAACAGCAAACATAATTTTTCAGTTAAAATTATTCACATCTAAGCTTTTTGGAGCAAGGCTAGATGGGTGGAGTTCCTGTTTAGGACACAGCCACCATGGAATTCAGTATTGACACTCTCTAAGAGAATGCAATGAATAAATCAATTTGGGTGAGGAAAAATGACACAGGACTTTTCCAATAAAGGTAGACTTGATCAACTTGTGTAGTACTAATGGCTAGAAAAATAATATTCATGAAGATGGAAAATACAATAAAAGCAGCAAGACTCCAGGATACATAAAGTCAAATTATATCACAAAATTGTGCTGATTCTGATGGCTAAATGTCCCCCGCTACATATTCCCATGGAAATTAATGTGTTCAAAGAAAAAACTGAAACTTAAAAAAAATACAGAGAAATTATATAACTGAGATATAATTCTTTTTATTTTTTTAAATTTTCCATAGAAATGGAGTCTAGGCTGGTCTCAAACTCCTGGGCTCAAGTAATCTTCCTGCCTTGGCCTCCCACAGTGGAGGGTTACAAGTAAGAGCCATTGTGCCTGGTTGAATAATTCTGAGATTTCAAATAAGTGTTTTCCTTCTTCCTGGCTTTTCCATGTTCTAAATCCATGGAATACACTGGCTAACGCATTGACAACCCAGTTTTCAATGGAAACGTGCAGGTCAGATTAATTAGATGCTAAAGAATAACTCAGGAAATTTTAGATAGTAATATGTTGTACCAAATATATGAAAAGAGGGGGAAAAAAACCCCACATTACCTTCCTTCTTCCAAAAATGAATACCAAAAATTTCTATTGGAAAAAAAAATTCAAAAAACTCAAATTCTAAAATCAACCCAAATGAGATTTTCAATGAAGTATATGATGAGAAACCCCATTGACTCCACTCCACTCAATGTTCACAGTGTTCTCTAAATGTGAGCAGAAGCAACATTTACACAAACACAGAGGCATGTTTGAAACCTTTTATTAAACAGGCAATGCATTGTGCAATGGTTAAGGACACAGATGCCTAGTGGAAAAGTTTAAAAATTTTTAAATTGCTGGAAACAGTCTATGAATTGATGAACCCGGCTATGTTCCCTCCTCTCCTTCTCCAAGTGGCTATCTTCAGGAAAACAGATTGTCTTATAGCTGCTCTTGGAAACGGCATCCCTGTTTTACCATGAATGTCATGCCTCGTAAACGTGAAGGGAGAAGACAGAACCCACAGGCAAGACAGTGGCCAGAGACAGGGCTGATCTCAAGTGGAAGTGCAGACACCCTTCTCTGGGGACGGCTGCTCTTCTGGTCTTGCAGGGCATCCTACTTATGCATCCAATTTCCTTTCTGGTTTCTTCCTTATGAAGGGAATTCTAAAAGACTTATATTCACACCTCTGGGCACAGGAACTTGTCCCTGGACTTTTCCCAGTGTTGTTCTTGTTTCTGGGCGCCTCTGGCCCGGGGTTATGGCTGTGTGTTTATCTTCTTTGTTTTGCCTGGCTCTTTCCTCTTCCCCGAGCTCACCATTAAACTAGATGATAAAAATCAATCTTCAGTTTCACAGTTTGTTTGCCATGATTTACTGGCAGTTTTTCACTAAGTATCCCTTCAAGGTAGTGGACGTGCTTTATCAGCACTACTGCCAACCTATTTTATAATTTGGGGCATGTCACTCCAAGCCTGAGATTTCTTTCTGGCAAGTTCCATCCAGGATGGCTGATCTGCACTGGCATAACTGGCTCTCTTCAGCTGATGCAATTCCTTCTCCGTCATCACTGCAGACTGAGCTGCTGGGAAGGAAACAAAGCAAACAGAAACCCAGGAGTGAGTCTGGATTTTCACTTAAGCCTCTTACATTGCTTGAAATATATGTTGCTGTCTTGACTGCATTCTCAAAGGCAAAATTAATACGTAAACATGTAAAAAAAGAGACTGAAGCAAAGAATATGTAATATATGTGATAAAAAGCCTTCAGGGCAGGCTCAAACAGTGCTGGTAATGCAGCGAGGAGAGAGATTTTTGGAATAAAACTGAAAGAGCTCTGGAGATGGGTCTGCCTAACTGTGTCACTAAACTTAAAACTACTGAGCAGTACACTTGAAAATGGTCAAGATGGCAAATTTTCTGTTATATGCCTTGTACACTACAATTAAAAATATGTAAAAATTTGAAATACTGGGACA